CACAAAGACATTTCTAAATTGTAAACTGTAAAATATGACAGACAATGACAAACAGTTATGAAGACTGCTGGGGAAAAGAAACAGCACAAGAAAATGTCATAATTGAGGAGCTCTGGTAGCGTAGTGCCTAAGGCACTTGACTGCTAACCGGAAGGCTGGCAGTTCAAAACCACCAGCCACTCCTCAGAAGGAAGATGGGGCAATCTACTTCTGTACCAATACCACCTCGGAAACCCAAGGAGGAGTCGCTATGAGTCAGGTCTAACTGGACAGCAGTTGTTTTTTTTTTTTGTTTAACCCTACTGTTACATGACATGGAAAACCAATATGGCGGACAAGGTATCTGGTCAACCAGTTGGAACTAAAAATATAGAATACTCTTTGTGGTAGTTTTGATTAAAATGTTAACAGATCACACAAGACACTGTCATTTTTGGTTTTATTTTTGTCAAAACAAAAATAATTTAACCATATAAAGATGGAAATAAATTTCACAACCAACCAAGAAGCCAATCACTTCCCTGATTATCCACAACCAGTAGAGTGCCGAGTTGTGAACAGCAGGCTGCATGTGTAATACACAGAGTCGTCCTCGAGGGCCCAAGTGGCAGAGGCTGACTTTTTCCCCTGGTTTCCTTCCTTCCAGTGGTGAAGTAATGTTCTCAGACATTTCCATTCTTGTCCAGATTGTGTTATGGGCATCCTCACGTAAGTACAAAGCACGGGTGAAAAGAATCATACGGGGTGGGAATCTAGCACACAAGATTGTCTTGGTCCTGACAATTATATTTAACAAGTTCTGAAAGATAAGGACAAGAAACTGTGCTTGAGTACAGAAATATGTGGTGTTTCAAAAGCCAAAGAGTCTCCCTCACACAAACTATGAGAATAACAGCTGAAGTGAAGAAAAATGCAGAAGCCATGTTTGCTGCAATAGTACAGATATGCCTGCCACCCCTCACTGTACCGAATGATGTCTGGGGGGCTGAGCAGCAGCTCATTCTGATAACGATGGTAGTTTCTGAAACTATACAGACCTACTGCTCCTGGCATATTTTGTGCAAAATGCAAATTTCTGTGATGGGGAAAATGAATAATGTGATCATTCCAAGTAATGAATGTAAATGCAAGGCAATCGTTTTGGCACAAGGCTGCAAACTGGTCATCTTTTATGCCAAGGACTACGGCCAGACATACTTTTGCAAGGCTACTCTTTTCATTTGAGCTTCAGAGGCAAGATTTGAGAAAGGAAAAGTTTAGCTTGCCCTAGGTCACCCAACAGGCTATTGGCAGTGTTTTGATTAGAATTCAGAGACGGCTCCACCCTATCCCCCACCTTCCTTTTCACCACTTAGTACATGAATCCTAGGTTCACTGGAAGTGTGACCCAAAGGGATATTGGCTTCATCCCGAATCTCAAAGGTCACTCCTAACTGGAGGGATGAACTGTTCTCACCTCTCCCAGTGTCCCAAGGAGCCCAAACAATGAGCCTGCATTACGACAAGAAGGACCCAGGTTTCCCATCAAGGAGCGCACGGCCGTTTAAGTCCTGAACAGGACGGGTCTGAAGGAGGAGGAGGGACCTCTTTGCCCTATACTTCCTCAACAAGCAAGATCTGGACGCATGGAGGTGAGTCAGAGAGAGAGTACAGTGTGACTCTGGAGTAGCACGGGCCATGCACTTGTCTACCTCGCCCTGAGTGAATGGCAAAGCCTTCCGAGTGCCCTGTGAAGGAACTCAGGCCAGCACCTCTGCAGCTACTCCCTCTGGGGGAAGCTGAGGCCCCAGTTGGTCAAGAGCCTTGCCTGAAGGTACAGCGACAGTTAACAGCCCTGGGAAGAGAGGAGACTCCCTGATCCCTCATCTTGTGTGTGCCTTGTTCTAAGATAGCTTTGTTTCCCTTCACCATTATTTGGCACACAGTTGTAGAGTGGGAAACCGGAGCAGTTATCAAGGTTAATACTGAATACTGAAAGTTATGCTCAGTAACCCAAACGAGGTGATAGGCTGCTGACTGTGCCCTTAAAATGCATCCCATCATTACATCCCATTTTAAGAAAAGTCATAGGAAAACCAAGATTTAGAAAACCAAAGATTGTTCATCACTTTATAAAAGGATTTTCACTAGGAAAAAAATCATCAGCTTTACCTTACACTGCCTTTCAATAGGCAGCTCCCCTAGAGTTATTCAAAATACATTTTTGATTTAGTTTTTTTAAAGAATCCACTGAAACACAGTTTTTTGGAAATTCATGTTGATATAAAGTAAGGTGCACTTATAAGCAGCAGCACCCACTGTCAAAATGACCGTTTGGGACAGGATGGGGGGCAACTTGCCCAGAGATGCAGGGTGTTAACAAGCCAGACCCAATGTCCTGCCACATCTGATCTAGATGGGGAAGTGGCTCATGGAAGACAGAGCTTCCACGATTCTGAGAAGGCGCCATTCAGAGCTGTGGCTTACGGATTCAGTGCCAAGATCCTGTGACAGTTCAATAGCCACTGAGGAGGGGAGAAGCTGGAAAGGAGGCTTCTCCCCCGACCAGTGCCTCCAAAGAGAAGGTGGCCAGCTGAGGCCCGGTGGCCCACAGGCCCATGTCCCCCGCAGATATGTTGTCTGAAACTCACATGGTCGTGTTTTGTTTTCGTGTTTGCATTGTGAGCCCACATTTACGAGCTGGGTTCCTGCACCACAAAATCCAGAATTTGGCTCCTCTTGCAAACAATGAGCTCAAGCTGCCCTGAGCTGAAGGTCCTTGGGTGCCCCACACGGATGTGCTAAATGATGGCGGTTCAAGTCCACCCAGTGATGCTGCAGAAGAAAGACCTCGTGACCTGCTTCCGTGACAATTACAACCAAGGAAAACCTACAGAGCGGCCCTACTCTGTAACACGTGGGGCGCCATGAGGTGGAAGCAAGCCGATGCACCTGGCTTGGTTCTCCTCCTGAGCTTGTGTTCTTCATGACAGCATGCTTCCCTTCCCCACAGTCCCCACCCAAACTGCTTGAGCGCAGGACCCCAGGTGTGATACCTTCCAAGTGGGAATGTCTTCCAGCCATCGACTCTACAGTGGGAAAGAGACGGTGGTTCCTGTAGCACCCATGTTCACGTCTGGGGGACCGAAGCTTGGAGACGAGTTTCTGCTCATCTTGCCTACTTTCTCTTTCTCAGCTGGAGACACTGAAGTGCAGAGATGGTCCATCTTTTAACCAAGATTTCCCAGCTAGTTAAGGACAAAGCCAGAACTTCCACATCACTGTCTCCTGGGTGAGGTCACTTTCCTAGACTATCTCTCCCATCACAGTGGCATGGATAATTCAAATAGGTAGATGATCACCACACCACTTTGAGTTGCTTTAAAAGATACACTAAGTGTGTGTCTTACAGCCTTATCCCCTCTCTCTCGGCTGGGCTTGAAGTCACTTGAACATTTATGGCATATGAAATGGCCACAGACATATGCTAAGTTACTGGGAGAAGCTGGTCTCACATCTAAGTGTGCTCGGAATAACCCTAAAACTGGGAAGTTCACATGCAGACACTTGGAGTCTGACCATACTTAGTCACAGGCAGAGACTCATTAAAAGTGTGTTCAGATGTGTGAGGTCCTTGGCATCACCCTTTGAAGTACCAGATGTCACCTGAACATCATGACATCAAAGGTAAGCCAAGAGTTCAGCTATAAATTTCAAATTGTACAAAATCCTACCAAAACAAAGTATAAAATTTTATTGAAACGCAGCAGTATGAACTTCTTCAAGTTTCTCTTCTCCCATCTAAGGAGAAAGAAAGGCATGCAGCAAACCTAAGGCTTCGCTCCCTGGGCTGGCTGACGTGGCTCTGCTATTTTCTCCTGCAGCCGGGTGCGCTGGCTCGGAATACTGGGGGATTTGATCAGTGCTGCTCTGACTTACACAACACAGAGGCTGATTTAATTTGACAGCGAAGTAACACCAAGCCCCCAAAATAAAATTACTGAGATGTAAAACAGCGTCAAAACTCCAATTAGTTTTGTATCCTTGAAGCTTCTGGAGGAAGTCTAAAAGGCTCCCGTCACGATGAACAGGCATCAATTTAAACGGCAGAGATTACTAAAATGTAACCCTCTAATTGAAATTGCTCAGAGCACAATATGACAAAAAGAATCAGAGGAAAATAAGTGAATTTTTTCCCCTCAAAAAAATGACTCATGACTGAGAGGCTGTTCTATTAACTTTTAACACAGCGTTCCTTTAGCAGAGCTAGAAAAATCAGGAGTTCCGGAGGTCTCCACAGAAAAGGCACCAGGCCTAACAGCAGGACAAGCTTGTGCCTTTTAGCCCCAAGAAGCAGTGACCACTGGCATCATACTTAAAAATAATCAGCCTTTCACCAGATCATAGGCATTCTGAAGTATATTTACAATTTCCACAGAAGAGGCAAATTATTCTGACCAACTTCAGTTTTTAATAAATCTGGGTTTTGTTTCCAGAATGGACAGAAGTACCTGGACACTCAATCCATACCCCCATCCTTGCCAAGCTCCTTCTGTGATCCCATGTGCTTGTGTCACCTTGGAAGCAAACCCTCAGCTTATTAATGGCAGTCCCTGTCACCTCGACTCTGTGGGGTTCATGTTGGTTAACGTGTTGCTGTGGCCCTCTTGGTTAACGCCTCTTGGCTGGAGTCTGGCATCAGGGGCTTGATGGTGAGAGAGAGAAGGGGTAAGGCTGGGAGTCAAAGCACAGCTGGTGTGTTCTCAGACTCTGCGTCACTGCCTCCTTTCCCCCACCTGGCATCACGTGAACATGAGCATGTCATATCTATGGGAAGCACTGGGAAGAGTGCGACTGAGCTGGGCCTTGGAGTTGGTTGGGCTTGGGTTGGAAAGATCCCAGAATGGCTTCCTAATGAGCAGGTGCCTTATCCATAGAGTTCAGTTCTCTGGTGAGCTCAAGGTATTTCCTTGTAGAACATCACAGTCTTGCCTGACGGATGCCATCTTTGTCCGGAAGCCTCATATTTCTATAACTAGTCGGTCTTCATCATCACTGCTGGTGTCGCTGAATTCCACTCGAGTTTGCTTTCTCACTCCTTCCAAACTCCTCTTCTTGACGGTTCTAGAAGGAGTTTCGGGGGTGTCCGTGTGCTGCCCTGGGCTGGAAGGAGCCACACAATCCTTCTGAGCAATGGACTCAGCTACTTGGCATTTCTCACTGCCATTTCCCACAGGGCAGTGGGGGGTGACCATCTCCCCACACTCATACTGGCCCCTGGAAGGAAAAACCGCCTTGTGTGCCCCTTCCTCTTGGTGTGAATTCTTAGAGCTTAGTCCTGAAGCTGATGTTTCAAGATGAGGCTTCTCGGTTGGCCCTAATGGGACCGCATCTGAAAGTTTTTGTCCAGATGAAGGTTTCTCCAGCAAGGGGGATGGTGATGTGCCTTCTGCCATAGCTTTTCTGTCGGGGGAGCTTGGTGCCCAAATCTCGGTAGCCCCACTGTGGCCTTGTGACCCTGCACTGGGAGTTCCCAGGGCTGTGTGGCCTGCCCTGGCCCCTAGAGAAGTACAAAGGGTGGCCACAGAGGTAGCATCATCATGGTGGGGAAAGGTTCCTTTGGAGTCAGAGGAAGAGGGCTTTTGAGCATCTGTGAGAACGCCCAGTTTGGGGTCTACTGAGACATGCTCTGGGGGGAGCAGCTGCTCAGTCTCAGGCAATCCACCATCCAGACCTTTGGCACCTGGCAGGAGGTGGTGTTCACCCACTGCTGGCCAGGAGTCGCAGTGTAGGGACAGTCCTGATGCAGCGGCTGTGTTCCGGGGAAAATAGTTGCCATGTTCACCGGCAGGTGGGGAGATATCCTGCAACAAAGTGCAAAGGCAAAGAAATGGGGGATGAAAGGTTAATCGGTACAAAAACAAAACTGTGGCCAGAAACATGGGCCTCTGTGAACACAGGGTCTCAGGGTCTTAATGACTGTTTACCACATGTGGACTTCAATATGGTGTCCTCAATAAATTGAGGAGCTCTGGTAGCGTAGTGCCCGAGGCACTTGACTGCTAACCAGAAGGCTGGCAGTTCAAACCCACCAGCTACTCCTCAGAAGGAAGGATGGGCAATCTATTTCTGCAGTGATACCGCCTCGGAAACCCAAGGAGGAGTCTCTATGAGTTGGATCCGACTCGACGGCACGTAACAACAACAGCAACAACTCAGTGATACATTAGCCCGAGTGAAGCTCTCAGCTGTTGCAAAACAGGCTGCTGAGATTGCTATGAGCTTTGCTAAAAGTGAAATGCCTCAATTATCTATCCAGTCCTGAGCACCCCCAGGTCGCAGCGCCCCCCATCCTCAGCACCCTATCTTAAGTGACTATTGCCCATAAGGTGAATATGTTATTCTACAGTACTGTGATTTTCTGTGGTTTTCTAGAGTAGCATCTTCAAAGCGTAGCCTGGAGGAGGAGTTCGTGTTCTTCACCAGGTGGGCCCCCGTCTGCCTGGAGTGAGCTCAGGTGGCAGCGACCGCTGTGTCTCCTTTCAGCCGAGCGGCAGGCAGCATAGCTGGACTGCCAGGACTGTGCACCTGGGGCATTGAACTCTTCTCGGATTTATCTACAGCGAAACCTGCAAGAGCCGGAACTCGGCAGACTGCTGAGGTTTTCACCTCTGACAGGGTGCAGTCTGACCACTTTTCAGTCATTCGTTTAGTGGAAGGTATTTGTGTTTTCCTTCTCAGACAGGTTTCTGCCTTACACACGTTCTGGCTTCCACAGGGTTTACTGTTTATGGGATCAAATTGTCAACAGCAATTTGAAAGATGAGATAGGAAATTCAGGGGGTAGTGACGATGTTAATGGGGGAACCATTCGGATAGAGGATGAGAATGGTTGCACAACTCAAAGAGTGCCGTCAGCGTGACGGGAGTGTAGTGTGGAAATGGCTGAACTGTTGTATGTGCTGTTGTGTGCATTTTCAATCATTCAAATCAGATCAAATAAATTTTAAAAAAATAACTAAAAAGCAAAAGACAGCATCTCTACTCTCTTGGGCCATGGATTGGTAACACACTTAGGGTTTTTAACAAACCAGGAGAAACCTCCCCATTTACAAGCACAGCCTCCGTTTTTTCCGAGGAGAGTGTCTGCAGTGTCGGTTTACATCTAATAGGCTTGGTGGTTGGAGTGAGTTTTGCCACACTGGGCCACAGTAACACAAGGACAGCCATGAGTCTAGACAATGCACACCCCAGTTCCCACCTTCACAGCCACGTCGTCTTGCTCCCTGATGCTCCGGGGACCTGCACTGGGAGGGATGGTTACTGGGATCCGTCCACAGGCTTCTTCATGCTTCTCTACGCTCTCCTGACAAAGAGATGGCTCTGACGTGGCTCCCGACGGCTCCCCTCGTGGATTTAGACCTAAGAGGGGGGAGGCATCCTTATGTACACCTGAAATTATAAAATAAGCAACGAGTGATTACCTAGGAGAGTGTCTATGTCTTCATGACTAACTCTGAGTTCATTAACCCTTGTCTCACTCGGTTTGTACAAGAACTCGGTTTACCTCAAAGCAATTCACACTTGCTCAAATGAATGTCCTTACTTCTAGAAAGGAAAGAAATGGTAAGCTCAATTTACAAAGTAGAAAACCCCCTAACTTACTTGTATGTTTTGAAAATATTTTATGTGGCTTTTTTTCAGCAGACTCATTTTCCTGATCACATTTATTCAGATTACCTTGAGATGGGCTTGGCTGCTGTGGCCATACAGCCACCTAGAGAGAAGAAATGTCACTCTATATCACATTATCCAAACCAAAAAAAAAAAAAGAAAAAAAACCCAAACTCACTGCCATCAAGTCAATTCTGACTCATAGCCACCCGTCCGTGGGCTTCTGAGGCAGTATCTCTACAGAAGTAGATTGCTCAGTCTTCCTTTTGAGGAGTGGCTGGTAGGTTTGAACCACCAGCCTTCTGGTTAGCAGTCAAAGACCTTAGGCACTATGCCACCAGAGCTCCCTATCACATTATCAGCACCTTAGAAATAAGCAGTCTGTTTGTCCTGCTGTAGTGGCTGGCATGTTTCTATGATGCTGGAAGCTATGTCACCAGTATTTCAAATACAAGCAGGGTATCTGAACCCATGGTGGGCAGGTTTCAGGGAGCTTCCAGACTAAGACAGACCAGGTGATTGAATTCCCAAACCATCAGCTGTTGGAAACCCCATGGAGTAGAATTCTATTCTGACATATATGGGGTTGCCATGAGTTGGAACTGACCCATGGGATTTGGTTTTGATGGCACTGGAAGATGAGCCCCTAGGTTTAAGGCACAAATACACAGTGGCCGCAACTATGGAGCTGAGCAGACCTGGGCTCACAAAGACGGTGCAGGAGCGGTAGCATTTTAGCATTTTGTTTCGCCGTGAGTGGGAGCCAACTTGATAGCAAAGAGCAAGCCTTCACTAGAGCCCTGGGCAGCAGGGGCCGAGCTGGGCTTTGGCGCTGCTGCAGCTCTTGTTCTGTTGTCGTGGTTCTCGTTGTGGTGACGGAGGCTGGTGGGGAGAGGGCGACAGGAGGAGGGCCCTTGACGATATCCACAACACAGCCTCTCTCAGACGCCTTTTCCTCACCACCACGCTTGCCTCCATTTATAACACTGGCCTGGGACACAGGTGACCAGAGGAGAGGATTTTGGAGAAAGAAGGTTATTTCATGAGATGAGATCAGAAGAACGCTCTAAAATGGCTGTGTCACCAGAGGACAAGCACTGACTCCCCTTTTAAGTTTGCTTTCCTTTTGATCACAGTTACACAAGCTCAGAGTTTTGAAAAGTCAATACTTCTGATGAAGAAAAACAGCAACCCCTGTCCACTCACCCATCTTTTTCCAGTTCCCAGAGGTGACCACTTTGGATCCCTTTGATATACACTTCCTTCACTTCTAGTAATATGCTTACAGTACTGTTTCTTGGTTGTTTTTGTTTTTTGTTTTTTGTTTTTTAGTTTGGAATATAGCCTACAACTTCCTGTGAAGGGAGAGAGGGTTTAACACTTCCACAGCTCCACACCTCCACAGCCTCATCACCAACCACCTTTCCCCTGCAAGCTCTTAACAGCTATCTAACTACAGTGTCATAATTTCATTTAGATAAATACTTGTTATGTTTAGGAATGTGTCTTTCACTGCTGAGCCACGTAATGTACTATGATAACTGTCTTTCTTGCACACTGTTGTATTACCTTGAGTTAATAGTTTTGTTTTTCTTTTGTTCAGTTTTCTATGGACTTACTACTAATTCATCCCACAGCCTCTTACCCTATTAGCCTCGTTTCCTGAAAGATACCTGTTTTGGAACTTTCTGACCCGCTCCACAAGGACTTGCTCTCTAGGCCCACACAGCTGTGCTCCTGGGGTCCCCTTCACCATTCCTGTGATTCTCTTCACCTCTTCCTCGGTTCCTGGACACCCCATGGCTTCCTTTCACTTACTCTACTCACTTGTTTTCCTAACAGACAAACTTCAGTTGCTTAATAATGAAAGGGTATAGATATAAAATTGTTTAGACTTTAATTGGCAGCTTGTCTGGAGGTTAACACTCTGGATTGGAAATCTTTTTCCTTCAGAACTGAAGATGTTGCCCTACTGAGTTCCAGTTGTTAATATGTGTTCATGACCCCTTGTTTTTTCCTCTCTAGAAGCTTCTACACTCTTCTTTGTTCCCAGTGTCCACATGGTCTCTGCTTTCATTCATTGCTCTGGGCATTCAGTGGGCCCTGATCTGGAAATACATGTCTTTCAGGTCTAGAAAGACGTATCGCTGATCTTTGGGTGCTTCTGTTGGTCTTTTATTTCTTTCTAGAAATCCTCTTACAAAGTTATTGGACTTCCTGGACTAAACCTCTATTTTTCTTTTCTCTCCTATATTCAATTTCTTTGACTTTTTCTTTACCTTTTTATGAAATGCCCTCAACTTTATATTCCAACTCATGAGTTTCTATTTCTGCCATCATGTTTTTGATTTCTAAGAACTCTTTCTTACATCTCCTAAGATATCTGGTTTTAGCGCCACCTGGAACCATGGATATCTGAGTTTTTATGGCTTTCCCTACTGTTAAATCAGGATTAATTTCTCTTGGTTCCACTAGGGTGGTTACCACTCAGCTTTTGCGTTCCAACTTCCAACACATAATGGCATCATTTCTTCCCCCAATATTACTGGCATTACAAACACATTCCCTTACTAACTTCTGCTGGGTTTTTGGAGTAAAGTTAAGGTAAGTGAGTGTGTTCTGTCCTTCATCTTGAACAAAAAGAACAGAGTTACTTCTTATACCTCACTAGGTCACCAATTACACTGATCCTAAGCAAATCAACTTTGAAAATCCATGCTGTTGTTGTTGTTATGTGCTGTCGAGTTGGAGCCGACTCATAGCGACCCCTCCTTGGGTTTCCGAGGCAGTATCACTACGGAAGTAGGATTGCCCAACCTTCCTTCCAAGGAGTGGCTGGTGGGTTTGAACCACCAGCCTTCTGGTTAGCAGTCAAGTGCCTTAGGCACTGTGCTACCAGAGCTCCTTGGAAAATCCATAGGAAAGTGCAAACATTTTCCTTCTGTATAACCCTCATTTAAGCCACCTGTGTGCTGGGATTGTCTAAAGGCACAGAGCCAGGGTTTTGGTATTCCGTTAGTTAGTTCAACAAATATGTCCTGGACTCCTCCAATGAGCCAGGTACCAGGCTCAGCCCCAGGGAAATAGGAGAATGAAACAGATGTGGCTCTGGCCCTCAAAGAACTTCTAACAGGGAAGAGAAACAGACAAAGAAACAGATAAGATCGTTTCAGAGTGTGATGGGGTCATGAAGGAAATACACAGAGGGTGGAGATATTGCAGAGCGGAATGATAAATGGCGGTGTAAGAGAGAGTCACAATAAATTGGGAATAACAAGAGATGGGAGTATTCTAGAGAATAACAGAAAACAAGGAGTAATTAAATAGGGGCACATTAGAGAGTAAGAAGCCCTGGTGGTGCAACCCTAATCAAAAGACTGGTGGTTTGACCTACGTAGTGGCTCTGCAGGAAAAAGACCTGGTGATCTGCTCCTGTGAAGATTACCTCTTGCTATAATGTGAATTCCAACTCATAGTGACCCCATAGGTCACAGAAGAACTGCCCTACTCTGTAATCTTTATGGAATCAGAGTGCCGCATCTTTCCTCCAACAATAGTTACATTAAACTGGAAGCTGTTAAGGGAGTAAGGATAAATATGCACAGAAAATAAAGCTAAACAGAGTGTTTTACGACAAGTAGGGGAGGGAAGCATACTGCAGGGAGTAATGGTGAGGGAACTGCTTTATGCAGCCAAGGCAGGCCTCAGACGGAGACCTACGGGAGAAGAAAGAGCCAGCCCTGTGAAGAACATTCCAGACAAAGGAAGAACACATGCAGGGACCTGGGGCGAGGGGTAGGACTCTGGGAGGTTAGGGTACCAATCAGTAGCCAGTGTGACAGGAGGGAAGAGGCAAGAGAAGGTTAGGAAATTGACAAGGGGTCAGATCTTATAGGGTGTGGGTGGTCATTGATAAAGGGTTTAGAACTTATTCTCCATTCACTGTGAAGAAACAAGTATGTGGGGGTCTTACATATTTTAAAGATACATGTTTATACTCTCTGAGACTAAACTGGGGGTGGAGAGGAGTAGAGGTAGGAAAATGAGCTACAAAGTCACTCGGAAGGAAGGTTGGGCGATCTACTTCCCTAGCGATACCGCCTCGGAAACCCAAGGAGGGGTCACTATGAGTTGGGTCCGACTTGACAGCACACAACAACAATGGGGTGGTCTAGGAACCTGGTGAGGGTGGCTTGACTAGGACAGTGGAGGCAGAATTAGAGAAAATGAAGGTGCATCTACGTGTGCATTGCTCTGAGTCAGAACCAACTCGATGGCAGTGAGTTTTTTGGTTTGATGTGTGTGTGTGTGTGTGTGTGTGTGTGTGTTAATTCTTACCCATGAAAAATGACCCCAAAATAGTAATGATGATAGATGTTTCTCTAGCCCATAGCTCAACAAGCACATGCACCTCCCTCTACGTGGATTAAGCTGTGTCCACACAGTGACACAGCAACAAGGCAATTCATTCCATTCAATGAAGAAGGAAAATCAATTAGTATAGAGAAAATAATCAGACTGCCCAAACGTCTGCCCAACAGGTTGTTTGGGACTTTCACTGTGAGCCGAAAGGTCATGTGCACATCTGAGCAATGACTTGTGACTCATCTGAGAAAGAGGGGAAAGTAAAGCAAGGGATTTAATTTGCTATAGACCCTCCAGCCTCGAGAGGAAAGTGTGTTATCTTTAATAATTGTGAAAAAATGCCCAAATCACATCACTGAAATGTGTTAAACCAATTTGGATTA